AGGTTTGTGTTCAATGTCATTTCAGTGACATAGGCTTTAGAAAATACATTTTTTAGACATGTTTTTGTATGCTTTCAAAAAAGTGGATCAAGGAAATAATAAGAAAGGAAAATCCAGAAACTGCTGTCTGGCTTCAATTGATATTTTAATTGAACTAAGCACCACAGATACCAGAAAAAAGATAAATATATTAAGGTATTTATTTCCAAAATTGTCTACTCTAATTTGCCAGGTTTTAATAATCCCTCCCTGGGTCCGCCACTGCCAATTATTGTCCAAGATATTTGAAATGTATCGTTGAAATAAAATAAATGTTTAACAAAAAGTAAATAAAGTTTGTTTGTTGATTTTGTGCCGCGCTAACGGAGTAACATTCCAACCTGCAGCTGGGCACTGTTTAACATTTTGACCTTGGATTCGGCACTCCACATAGTAGTAGTACAAACCATTCCGACCTGAGGCTCAGCACCGTTCAATATTCAAGTACGGATTTCGGCAGTCCGCATTAATTGGCGGTCCAAATTCAAACGGACCAATGAAATATGCCTAGGTGCCGAATTCTATACCGGAATCATCTAAACTTTCCGGTATAGGATTCGGCACCTAGGCATATTTCATTGGTCCGTTGGATAGAAGAGTATAGTGATATAACATACACGAATCGGAATGTGATGTCAGCGAAGAATAATTATACCAGATTCAAATGCAGCCCCCGGATTCTGTTTTACGAGTCGAGTTGGATTGTCTCGATATCGAATACGACAGCTTCGGACATACCGTGTAACGCTATGTCCAACGTAAACACGATTCGAGCGATGCGTATGCGATGCGTCAAACGCACGCACCGTTGAAAAAACGCGACAAATGCGTTTGTGTCCAATGTGCTCACGAGATTGTCGGTCGTTGTTCCTTCTTGTCTCTTGCGCTGCTTTGCATTTATAAAATGGAGGAACCAGAACGTGTACTTTTATTAGAAATAGTGTACGGAAATTGAAAATGTTAGGAAGAAAAAGCGATCACCCATGAAATATTTCGAAAACGATTAAAGTTCGGAGATTTTCATCATTTATATGAACATACTGCTACATATACATCTACGTGCAGATCCAACTTCCAAACGCAATTATTTTATTCCATAAAACATCACGTTTCTGAATAACATTGATCAAAACTTCCATCGTCGTACGAGTTCTGCGTGCAAATTCAAACATGTTTGTATTTTAAACAAAGCGTGCGTTGCGGGTACACAAAATCGCCCGCAACGCCCGCGCAATGCATCTACTTTGGACATGCTAATATAAATACATAGGTTTAATCGCAGACGTTCATCGCATTGCACGCATCGCATCGCACGCACCGCTGGTATCGTCTTTACGCTGGACATAGCGTAATACTTATCAAAATATCGTAAAATAGAATCGTTATTTTGACAATTCGATACGAATTATGACTCGACTCGTAAAATAGAATCCGGCAGCAGGTTTGTGTTCAATGTCAATTCAATGACATAGGCTTTAGAAAATACATTTTTCAGATATGTTTTTGTATGTCATCATCATAGTGCTTAGAAAAAAGTGGATCGTATTTATTTCCAAAATTTTCTAATCTAATTTGCCAGGTTTTTAAAATCCCCCCCCCCCCCCCCCCCCCCCTGGGTTCGCCACTGCCAATTATTGTCCAAGATTTTTGAAATAATGTATCGTTAAAATAAAATAAATGTGTAACAAAAAGTAAATAAAATTTGTTTGGTGATTTTGTGCCGAGCTAACGGAGTAACATTCCAACCTGCAGCTGGGCACTGTTTAACATTTTGACCTTAGATTCGGGACTCCACATAATACAAACCATTCCGACCTGTGGCTCAGCACCTTTCAACATTCAAGTACGGATTTCGGCACTCCGCATTAATCTTATAACGGAATGTTTAGATGCCGCCGGGACACTCGGCAAATGCCCGGTGGGCCCACCGAAATTAGTCTTAGTATTATAAAACTGCTTTGACAGTTAACTTGAAGTCAACTTTTTGAATTACATGTAATTCCAGAAGTTAACTTTAAGTTAACTCTCAAAGTAGTTTTATAATACCCGCCCTTAATAAAAATACTTTTTTATAAGTTCTTGTATGAAAAGAAGTAGGACAGAATACGTCTTAAATAAGAAGAGGATCATAATTGATTAATCAATATTTGAGAAAATGGCTATGAGCCAGACAAATTCTTGGATATATACTCAAATGTGCTGGCAAATTGCCCCTATGGGAGCAGAAGTCAATAATCAAGAAGAAGAAGTTCTTGTAAACCTTATACCAAAAATTTCAGCTCCAATAATATTATCTTCTGAATTGTTATATCATCAAGAAAGAGGACCAGTTCCTCTACTTTTGTTGCACCAGTCCTACTTTTCAATTCTACCGTACCGCTCAGACCATGATTGGCTAGCTATATCCAGCCCTATCCATCATAAAAAAAAAAAAAAAACTATGATCCCCTATCACTAGTAACTTCTCCTCCTCGAGCAAATATTTTTGAAATTTGGAACACTAGAAATAAGATAGTTCTGGCCCTGAAAAAGGAACTTTTCGACTTGAAATATTTATTTATTTCATCATAGGCCAAGGAGTGGGTCTTTTTGTGCTGAGCTCAACGTTTGAAGGCCAACGTGTAGCGGAGGCCCACAATCGAGCGAAGGACAGAAAGACCTTCTGAGCCGAATAGCATGCAACATTTTATCTTCAAGCGACTGCAATATATTCCGCAACTTGGTAATTTAAGACTTAAAGGATTTTTTAGCGACTAACCGTTTGTAGCCGTGTTATAAACGGTAACTGAAATTAAGCCTTTTCGGAAACGCTGATCTCATTAACCGGATCACCAGCTGACTATGTCTTTTTTCAATCGTATTCATTAAAGAAAGATAGAAACAAAACAGCTTTGATTGGGTTAATCGGATAAGCGTTTCCGAAAAGGCCTAATTTCAGTTACCGTTTATAACACGGTTACAAACGGTTAGTCGCTAAAGAATACGCAAAGTGAATACAAGAACATAATAGCGCTGATTGACGCTGCTGCCTCTAGCGAGAGAAAAGCGAACAAATTACTCCATACATATAGATTTTTATCGTCCTAGGAACATAATGGATCACTTCTGTGTCGAGGGTTGACGAAAATAAAAGGTTCGTTCCAACCCCCCGTTTTCGTATCGTCATGAAACGGTTTCGGAACTGTTAGGATCGATTGCAGGCGCATGCGTTGACCTTGCACGGTTTTATCTTGGTACAGAAACAACGGGTAGTTGGAACGGTTTCATGATCGTTTTCGTAATGACGACAGTTCAAATAACTTTAACCGAGACTTTAACCCTAAATTTGTTTGTTTGCAAATTAAAATAGAAGAATATAGGATTAGGATTACAAAATAATATATAAAAAAGGAAAATCGAACACCAACGCTGATTCATTATCAAGAATCTAAAACTGAATCCTTGCAAGCTGATAACATCAAGGATTAGCAAATAGCTGATAATAAATTTTGTACTTTTTTTCACTTGAAAAAATAACAATGCTACAGTTTTATAAGTTAGATTGGAAATTGGTTGTTTAACAACAACATGAACAACAAAAACAGGTGACAAAAATTGAATTACGCATGTCAGTCATGAATCAGTCCACGCGGTTCTTGCTTTCCACTCGGGATCGAAATGACGGTGCTAAAACCAGTTCTCGAACGATCCCAGGTTTGGTTGGAACGCCAACGAAACTGTACGGTAAACGATCATCTCTCGGTTGGAACGCGTTTAACCTATGGCGCATGACCGTGACCGTACATTGTACGGTTTTTGGCTGGGTTGGAACGAACCTATTGTTCAAGTTTTTGGGCGCAGCACTCGCACTCGACCGCAATTTTTCGGCGCGCCTTCTTCAGGCACACAATTAAGTCACAATTTTCCGGCTTGAGAAATCCAGGGCCGGTCTGACCTACCCCATCCACCCCTGACGTGTTCGTGTAGGTGTAGAGAGGAAATTAGAAAGAGTATGCCATAAAGCACAGGCTTTTATAGACTAAATCACCCTTGGCCAAATGTTTCATAATTAATATGATTCTCTGTTTGTCAAAAAACACAAGGTTGTTATAATATGATTTAATTTTCGCATTTCTAAATATCAAAATATAAAGCGAAACATGGTTGCAATCTTTACACAAAAACACTGCAAGTTTCCGATCAATTCCATGCATTCAATGATGAATGATGAATTTACATAGTAAACGCAACGTCGCAACAATAAAGGACTGCAGCTGACGTCATCTCCAGCGAGAGTTTTCGGATTCTACCATTGTACTTGCTGACAGCTGATTTAGCCGATTCGTGTGTTCGTAATCAATTTCTCGTTCGTTACGATGCGTCTACGGTTCGAGTTTGCCTTCGACTCGGAAACTTTTACGCATCGGATGTTCGTAATCCGGCCCCAGGATTGGCGAACCGGTTTGCGAACGCGTTCGTAGCCCCGTCCAATAATAGTGTTTCGGTTTTGATCGTCATTCGGTTCGTTGTTCTGGTTGTTGTTCGGCGTAATGTTCAAGTCTGAACGAAGTAAGGCACGAAGCTTTATTTTTATTTTTTGAATCCATCGAAAAATTTCAGCCAGACTCAAAAATTCTTGTTTTTCACTAAGGTGTGACTTAATTAATATACTTAAACCGATTTTGAAAATAAGAACGAAAAAAATTCACTGCCCCCTGGACTATCATCAAGGAACAACAACAGCGTGGAGCAATAGTAAATACAGTGGACACTAAAGTAAAGGTGCCGCCATCTGTGTTTGATTTGTGATTATAATAATAAGCATCGAATTTTTGTTTCTCTCAAGTCACAGAATCGCGCTCTTTCTATTCCAATAATGAAATGAGCAGTTGCCTTTTTTTGCCCCGCCTTCTCCTCCACACCACCGTACATTCCGTTCTGTGTCTGGTGTTCTGTTCTTGCTTGGTGCTGTTCTGTGTAGTAGGCTGTAGCGTGCAGTGGATGGGTGGTTCGAGTGTGTCCTGTATTTTTATTAATAGTGACTGTATCTGTTATGTGATACCACCTTTATCTCCTTAAGGATATTGTTTTTATTTAGTTAGGTATGAATTTTTTTTTTCAATGTAATCCTTTAGTTACTAAAATCTAGTTTTAAGCTCATTACTAATCCCTAGTTTTGCTCTAATTTATGTCAGATTATTTGTTTATTTATTTACTAATAACAGACAATTATAAACCATAGCAACAATCATTTAACACTATAAATAATATGCTTGACCTGTCTGAGCGTAGCTATAGTATTTTTAATTTATTTGGGCCATGAACACTCAACCAACCAACACAGTAAAAATCAATTAAAAAACGCCAATACGTGTTCTTAGGCTAATTTTTACATGCCATCTAAATTTTAATACAAACACATCCAATTATAGTTTGTTTATACTTTCAATCTAAAAGGTTCTTCTTGAAAATGGGCTTTAAAGAAACATATTTTCCAGCCCCCAGTCTCATCTGGTTTCATTGAAATGCACAGTCTGTGTAGGTGTTAATAATATGTTACAAAACTTGCAGTCAAGATTGTCGAGAACTTTCATTCTTTCACAGAAGGTTTATTAAAGTTCAACCTGTGACTAATTATCCATACAGAAATGTTCAGGCGGAATCAAAGGTGCTGAACTAATATGTAGTTTCCTGGAACATATTCTTAAAATAGGTATTTGCGTACAGGATTTTATAAATAAACAAATGATGGATGAATCATTACTTTACTTTAAATTTTTTTTTGTATTTGAGTCATTTCAATATTTATTCATCATTACAGGAGTGATGACTCTCTATTAGGTAATGTAAGAAGTCGAGTCAGTCCTTGATTTAATAAATATTAACATCTTTTGGTAGTTACCTATTCAACTGGTTTAGCAATGCCAATAAACAAATAAATTATTCAATATTGTAAGAATGATTAATTTTTCGAGCAATAAAAGTTCATATTAGTAATACCTATCAGGGGAATAGGTACATAGTTGAATACCTACATACTCAATTATCGAGTTAATTATATTCAAAACACTTTTCACATAACTTTCACAATATCTTTGTTTTAATTATTTTTGCAAATTTCTTTGGGCAGACTGAGGTTCCAATGTAAATTTGGGCCATTTGCTTAATATTTCCTTGAATATTATTTCATACCTACTGCCACACTAAAAGGGTCTACTATTTCTGCCTTGTAAGCATTTTTGCTATTTTGTACCTCTAACATGGAGTTTGAGAATATATGGAAAACCAAGTGAAAAACTCACTGAATGAAAACTAATTGGTACTTTTTTTAAAGGATTCAAATTTATTATACTCGAGCCTTTCGAGAATAATTTAAACCAAACATAGTTATGATTTACTTATTTTATTTATGATGATAAATTATAATTAATTGTACAAAATACAGTGAATAATCAACTAGTAATATATCATTAGTCATTACATTGTTGAACACTTTAAAAACACCTAGCCGAGCACCTAGCTGAGTTAACAGCTGTATTAGTCCAAGAAACGGAGATCTGAAAAGCGGGGTTACCTCAACATAATTAGAAGTTGAAATTTTTTTGGGGGGATCGGTTCATTTTAATATGCTAAACAACATATTAAGTTTGCGACCTTGTACTTCCATAGGGTTTTCAGTTAGGGGTGGTTTTTAGGGGTAATTTGCGGTTTATGGAGAACGCTGCTCAAAGGGATGGTTCAATAGTAAAAAGTTTCAAATGAATGTTGTAGCTGAAGTTTTTTGCTATAAAAAACTCAGCGACAGCACCCCTCTATCTTCTATAGTTTTTTTTCTGCAGCTTCTTGAATAGTAGCATGTTTTTGTTCAAGGTCACTGAATCAACGTTTTGCCATTTTACGCGCATTTGTTGCAGCAGCGGCCGAATGCATAATCCGATTTCAATTTTTCAAACACCACATTATTTCTAATGAAATGCACTCTCCAATGCTTTTTTGTTCGAATTTTTTGCTTGAAAATTAAGCGAGCACGGACTTGTCTAATGTGCGAGGAAGTTGTAAATTGCATCGAAAACTACCCCTTTCTTGCATTCACTCCAATTTCTAAACGGGGCCAAATATTTGGTGACAGTTTTCGACAATCGGCAGCCCATTTATTCCTCTCATAATGCCCCAGCGGATTTTTTTTTTCGTTAATCACTTAATGACTTATTGGCCTGAGAACGTCGCGCGGGATTTTTCAAAAAGTAAAAAATAATTAAAATTGTCGCATAGCGCAGAAATTTGGTACGGTGGCCTTATTTATTGTTCTTACGAATATACTGCAATTTTAATTGCTTCACATGATATAAAATTGCAGTATAATCATGAGAACAATAAATAAAGCCATCGTACCAAATTTCAGCGCTATGCGACAATTTTAATTTTTTTTTACTTTTTGAAAAATCGCGCGCGACGTTTTCAGGCCAATAAGTCATTAAGCGATTAACGAAAAAAAAAATCCGCTGGGGCATTATGGGAGGAATAAATTGGCTGCCGATTGTCGAAAACTGTCACCAAATATTTGGCCCGTTTAGAAATTGGAGTGAATGCAAGAAAGGGGTAGTTTTCGATGCAATTTACAACTTCCTCGCACATTAGACAAGTCCGTGCTCGCTTAATTTTCAAGCAAAAAATTCGAACAAAAAAGCATTGGATAGTGCATTTCATTAGAAATAATGTGGTGTTTGAAAAATTGAAATCGGATTATGCATTCGGCCGCTGCTGCAACAAATGCGCGCAAAATGGCAAAACGTTGATTCAGTGACCTTGAACAAAAACATGCTGCTATTCAAGACGCTGCAGAAAAAAAACTATAGAAGATAGAGGGGTGCTGTCGCTGAGTTTTTATAGCAAAAAGCTTCAGCTACAACATTAATTTGAAACTTTTTGCTATTGGACCATCTTTTTGAGCAGCGTTCTCCATAAACTGCAAATTAACCCTAAAAACCACCCCTAACTGAAAACCCTATGGAAGTACAAGGTCGCAAACTTAATATGTTATTAAGCACATGAAAATGAACCGATCCCCCCCAAAAAATGTTAACTTCTAATTATGTTGAGGTAAACTTCCTTTATTGCTTGGACTATATGTGCAGTAAGCAGAATTACAGGCTAAAAATTAGGCTATACAAATAAATAATACTAAATAGATATAAATAACACAGTCATGACAAAATCATAAAAAAACTATCAAGGAATCTGTCTCAAATATCTGCTCAACATCTTGTGAAACACGTGCACAGTGCACATTAGATGCATTTTTAATTTCTTTGCGGTTATATGAGACTATAAAAATCTGACAAACTGAGTGTTGTTTTTATGTAATTCTTCAAGCACAAGCAGAATTAAATCTTTTTAGGTTCCTAATTGTTCTAACATTCTCTGGCAACAAGTTAAGTATAAAATGTTGGACCTAAATAACTAATAATGGATACTTCTGTGGCTAACTGGAATTTGTTTATTGTTAAACTTCTAGAGGCATGGCTATGATTTAGGTACACACTTCTTAAAGGGGGTGTGACCCTAAAAAACGACTTAAGCTACTTAAATCAAGAAAAACATTCTAAGATCTCTCGTGAAAACCGCAGTCCTGTATTAAAAATAGTCTCCGAGAAAATTCCTTGTGAAGATCAATTATGCAGGAAATTGTGATGTCACAACCGCCGAAATCGCAGTCTTCCGGTCGTTCAGTCGTCAGTGAACCGTACCCTATACTTTGAGTGGTTGCAATTCGCTCTAGGAGATAATTATCGTTTGTTTTGGAGAATTCTCACACGTATTAATACTGTCCCTGAAAATAGAGTGTGACGTCACAAACGCCTAGTTGTAACTTTAAACCGCCCTAACTCGAAAACGGACCATCGTAGCAAGATGTGGTTTGAATATTTATAATTAGATTTTTTTGCACTAAAACTTCCATTTTTGGGTCACATCCTCTTTAAGGCTGTACAATAGCGGAACCATAAATGACAATATGTTTCCTAGTTGTAGTAGTCCATCCTAAAAAAGTACGAAATATAGTAGGTATTTTATTTTTTTGTAAATTTAATTTTTGGTGCACAGGATTTTTCGATGTGGTTCCTTCCTTGGAGAGGAGGTTCATTATTCCGTTCAATTATTAATAATTATAATAATCTCAGCACTTTGCTGAGATTCTGGAAATCAAGGCGTTTTCCTCGGCCTTCTCTAGGGTTATTATTATTATTATTATTATTATTTATTTTCAAATATTTAGGCTCCATGGTTTCAAGAAAATACAAACAGTGATTTTTTGCGAGGAATCAGGTTAGCCTATGATAATACAAAAACCATAATCTACCCTAAAAGATGGCTTCTGAAATCTTGTTCAAAATTACATCATCCATACCTGCTTAATAATAGTTATTTACATTACAAGTGCGTTTATGAACATGATTACAATAACGAGTGTGAAAGATTAGGATGACGAGGTCGTAGACCGAGTCGTTCTAATCACACGAGTTTTGTAGTCATGTTTAAACGCACATGTGATGTACAACTTTTTATCTACAAAGCGAAAAAATAAGAATTTTTTCTCAATCATTTTCGTTTATTAGTCGTTGTATACCTTCATTTTACCTTTACAGGTTTACCTTTGACATTTGTCAAATCACCAAAAATAGTTGTGTTATGAATTCATAACCTTGTCCATAACACCACTAGTTGTGTTATGAATTCATAACCTAGTCCATAACACAACTAGTTGTGTTATGAGCCTCATGACATAACTCAAATACTGGAAAAATAGTTATGTAAAAACGTCATAACCAAACGCTTGTAGATAAATTATTTATCACAATGAAAATCACAGGACTACTACCTATTTATAGATTATACTGTACCTGCAGGTTCTATCGACGGTTCTATATATTTTATATGTATATATATTTTTCTTTTGTTTGAGTACTAAGTACTACAATACAAGTCAACAATATGCTTCAGTATTTTTTTAAATAAAGTTTTACTGCAGATTGACCTTGAATATTGAGGCAACAAGGCCTACAATTTTATCCATTATAAAATATTGTCCTTGATATCGACATTT